GGTAATTTTAAAATGCTTTTTCAAAGAGAAAAGAAATTTAAATCCTGTTTCATTGCTACCTAAACTGTAAATATTTGTAAAATACACCATCTAGGCAGTTCTGAACATGATTTTAACTGGAAGAGCAAGCCCAAATGTATTTAATGGCTGTCAGAAAGGAAGCTTTCAAGAAGTCTTACGTGGAGTCCTGGCCCGCAGTGATGTCGGCTATTTGCAGTGGGGTAAGGACGCCTCAGAGGGGGACAGGCTCTCCCAGGTGAGTGGGTTCCAATTGCAACCATACAACCAGAATGCCAATATGTGGACATTTTTTAGTCTCTACGGAGCCCTGGTGGCGCAGTGGTTAAGAGCTCGGCTGCTAACCAAAAGGTCGACAGTTTGAATCCACCAGCTGCTCCTTGGAAATCCTATGGGGTAGCTCTGCTCTGTCCTATAGGGTTGCTATGAGTCAGAATCCACTCAACAGCAACGGGTTTTTAGTCTCTACATTAAGACAACACAAACACGAGCTTAGTTTGTCCTTTACTCCTTCCTTCCTGCTACCTCTCACCCACCACACATACATACACACAGGAGACATTAAGGATCTAGAAGGAAAATGTGAATCTACTAGCTTCCTGTTTTATTTTATTTATTCTTATGTGCAAAAGTATAGATAATACAAGTAAATTTTTTAAAACGATATTTGAAATATACAGATAAAGGGAAAGTCCCCTTTCATCCCCACCAAGCTACAGGCCCCCTGCCTGGAAGTAAATCCTGCCAGCCATTGAAGGGTGTCCTCCCAATCCTTTATTTACACAAATAAATGCATATATTCTACATAAGACTCAAAGCTTTAAAAAAAAAAATCACTGAAAGAAAGGGGAATCCACTTAAGAAGCTCCTCTCAGAAAGCTTTCCAGCTCAGGGGATTTACAACCTCTGCCAACCAAAAAGTAAAACGTGCTGTTGAAGAGCACAACCAGAGAATTCAGTAAGACGTGATTTTGCAAAAAGAAACAGGAGAGAGAGAAAAAACAGGTATACGCACTGGAAACCACAAAGCAAGGGTGCTTCTGTGATAGTTTCACAAACATTTTCACCCTAAACGCCAGGGAAGGCAAGGCTTTGTTGTTGTTGTCAAGCGCCGTCAAGTCAGTTCTGACTCATAGTGACCCTCCGTAC